ATTCAGGATTCAGCTTTTTCAGATATTCTGGAGATAGGTGCCATCGCCTAACTTCAAGTCCCTGCTCTGCCACTTAATAGTGAATCACATAATCTTACAATGCTGCTGTTTCCTCATCTGTAAAATGGAAATAACAGTACTTGCCTTATAGTGTTGTAGTGAAGAATAAACATTTAATATCTATGAAATGTTTAGAAAACCCTTAGTGGGTGATTTGAAAATGTACACATCATGATGATGGTGATGGTGATGGTGATAATGATGTCTATAAAGTTTACCAGACTGGCCCAAAGTTCCAAAGAGCGTATTTTTTTAAAAAATATATCTTTATTGATTTCAGAGAGAGGAAGGGAGAGGGAAAGAGAGATAGAAACATCAATGATGAGAGAGAGTCATTGATCGGCTGCCTCCTGCACACCCCCAATTGGGGATCGAGCCCACAACCAAGGCATGTGCCCTGATGGGGAATCGAACTGTGATCTCCTGGATCCTAGGTCAATGCTCAACCACTGTGCCACGCCTGGCCAGGCCCAAAGAGCATATTATTGAGAGCAGTGTGATTTCACATTAAGTAGAAATTTAATTTAGCTGAAGGAACAAGTATTGGACGAGATGCCAAATCACTAAAGGGTTTTTACCATGTTAGAAGTGCTATAATGTATCTTATAAGTAATGTGTTTGCAGTAGTGATCTGAGGCTAGCTCATATAGACTTGTGAGGACCAGATGTTAAAATCAGTTGACTTTGTGGATAGCTTGAAATCAGTCACGGTGGGAGTATTTATACCATGGAAATCGGCAAACACTGCAAATCAGGGATTTTCCCCCCCCCTCAGAGACGTAGTTGTTAAAAATTCACCTGGGTTGGTATCCAAGGGTATGAGCTAGTTATTTTAGTTGGTGGAATCATTCTACCATAGCCTTTTGTACTTTTGGGTTTAGGCATGTGTCTTTTCATTTGCCACTCCAGTCCTAAATTCTGGAAGAAATCTATTAGGAGTTAACTGTTCTATCTTCAGCTCTGAAACTTAAGAATGCCAACACCCTCCTCACACACACACGCATTATTTTTTCTATCAACCTAATGCCTAAATAGGAGATGCTTTACAGTAGTCTGAGCTCCAACTCACCCTACTTTTTAGCTGTGATGACATAGGTTTAGCCTTAATAACTCTAAATATGTTGTATAATGTAAAAAAAAAAAAATTAGTGGAATCTAATGAACAAAATGAACAAGCAAAACAGAGACAGACTCACAAAAAGCAGGCTGACACCTGTTGCAGGGG